TTTAAAGTGCTTACGGGGCTATTAATCAAAAGCATTTGAAGTGCATTATAAAATATTTCTCTATGTTTCAACTTTTTTGATGTTTAGCTTGCAGCAAAATAAATACAAAGTAATACTGAAGGCTTATTTTTCCTAGACTTGGAAATCAATCGAATCATACAATTTTCAAATAACCTTTACCAAACACTTAATGCAGGGTTGCATGCTCACACTGCCTCACTGCTTCTTTGACTCTTGCTGTGTACTCCATCGTCTCCCTCCCAAGTTTATATAGAAGAAAAAACAAAAAGAAGTTGAAGCCTGACAATCGGTCATTCCAAAATTTTGTTTCCAACATCAAATCTATGGATCCATAACAATTTATAGTAGTTGAGTTCCCCGGATTGGAATCCACTTATCACAGTTGAAAGTTCACTATAACCACTTCGAACCATTCCATAGTTATTTGAAGTTCTAAGCTTAGTAATTAGAGCCAATCATAATGTTTGGAACTTTTTTGCTTCATGGCTACAATCATTCTGATGACATTAAAAATATTAAGCCTAACAGTCGAAATTAAATGATTTTTTTTTTAATTTTTTTATTTGAACTACCAGGAAGGGAACCAACTATGATATGTGGCATATCAAAGTTCTGGGTTGCAAAGGGGGCCACCATTTATGGTCTAAATATTTTTTCTGTACGAATTCAAAACCTACCATTTTTTTTTTTTTTTGAAAGAAAAAGCTACATTTGTGGTTTCATGAAGTGGGATCAAGTATGAGCAAATTAATAAACATCAGAGTAGATTACTGATGCACCAGTAAAAACTAGAGTAGCAGACAAAAATTATCCCTCTGAAAATCAAATAAAAAGATATGACGCATTCTAACAATTAGAAGGTGAAGGTAAAAATCCTAAACAATTGCAATAGAACGTAATTTCATTCAGGAGACCTTTACAGTCCTTAGGTTGCATGATGCAAACAATGAAAAACAAAGAAGCAATATCACCAAGCAATATTCACGGTGCATGTTTGAAAATTTTGGTTTCTCACATGAATGGGAAAACCATAAATAAAATAGACCTCTATGTGATGCCACAAACATCAATTGTTAGGGTAAGAGTCTAGATGCCATTTTGAGGTCTCCATTCGACCATTTTTTTAAGTAAAATGTAAAAACCAATAGGCTTTTCCGAAAACTGCAAAAAAAAATCAGGAGACATACTCCCATCAGGCTTGTTGACAAACATCCGTGCCTTTGCTGCAGCTACTTCTGCAATTCCTGCATGCAACTGAAATAAAATAATTATAATGTATTTCTCAGCAAACACCAGAGGAATCAAGATTTTTGACATACTGCCGACACATCACTATCACAGCCAGAAGAATCCTCTAAATGCTTTCCAAAGTAGAACCTTCCCTGTATAGAGAATTTTAGGATTACCATTATGATAGATTGTAACATGTTTTGCATTTCAATCATGCTTTTATAGGTTAAAACACTGATTCAAATTTTAATATGTAATTTGGTGATAAAATATCCAAAAAATATTGAAGGCAAACAATGATCATCTTAAAAGAAGCGTCAATATAGTAAAACAGCATCAATCTGACAGGAACCTACATATATTATACGCTCATTTACTTCAAATACTCCACAGCCATGCATTCGGCTATGCTTCCATTGGCCTGCATACCGATACCGGCCTTTCTCTCTGTTTGAAAAACCTAAACAACAGTTAATAAAACAATGACAGAATTTACGAAACTGAAGATGAAAACCAATAACAGCTGCAGAAAAAAATTGTGGTGGTATTATGCATTCAAGGCCAGGGTTTACTTACATTATAAAGATTGATGCAATCAAAGTTTCTTGTAATGAACGCAGTCAAGGTTTTGCTAAACATATCATCGTACTAAATGCTCGGTCATATAAGTTGTACTTGGTAAAGGGTTAAAAAAGTCACTTGACTATTTATATGGGGTAATTTTAGTCCTAGAGTTTATAAAAATGTTAAATTAAACCCTAAATTCTTTTAATGGGAGCTAAAATAGTCCTTAACAGAACTATTTCAACCAACAGTAAAAGGCTGTGGAAATTAAATTAACACTTTTACGAACTTTGAGACTAAAATAGCCCCTATAAAGAGTTAGGGGACCATTTTGACACCTTTCTTATTGTACATGTACTACATGACTTTAAAATCTCAGCTA